GGACAACTTGATGAACAGTGGTCGTTTCCTTCTCTCAGTGAAGAGCTCTTGGTTCAGCGGCCCAGGGGAGGAGCCCTGAGTTCCGGTCCCTGCTCTGACTCGGACTCCGTCTGTGACGTTGGCAATGGTACCCCTCCTCTCATTTTCCCACCCCCACAGCACACCGTCAGACCCCTTCCAGCTCCGGTTCCTCCCAGCTCCGGCTCCTCCCAGCTCCGGCATTCTGTGGACCACTAAGCCTCCTATGAGTGAGTCCCAGACCCTTGCCAGACCCTCCACAGTGAATGAAAAGAATAAACCAATCACATAAATTGAATGTGGACACAAAAGCAATCCATCCCCTTTACCCTGTAGTAAGAAACGCAGAGCAAATGCCACGTGTGATTTTGCACACGAACAGTGAGGCCCACAAAACCCCTTTCTTTTTTCTGGACTGGACAGTCCTGTTGGCTGGAGAGCTCTTGGTAGGCCGTCCTTTCAGCAGATTGTGTCCCCTGTTAAGGCACTGGGCAGTATCTGGGATGTGACTTTAGGCAGCTGGGAGAGCAGGGATGGATGAAAGGTGATGAAACAGCAAAGGCTAATTTGCAAAGAGGCTGCCAGGCTCCTCCTAGGACTCAAGGAGCAAACTCAAGTTCTCCAGGCCTTCCCCTGGTGTCCCCAGCAGCTTCCGAGGCCAGGGATGACCCTATGAGGTTCATCACTGTGGTGGCATGACCATCCCAAGACTAATTTTCCCATGAAGCCCTGCAGTGGGTGAGGCTGACTCCTGGGATTCGGTGACCACCTAAGAGCCTCCCAGTGTCCTCTGCTCTCTTACTCCACAGTACCATAATCTCACGGAAAGAGACAGAGTGTCTGAAACTGTACCTGTACAGAGACACCACCACAGAGTGGGGGATCTATTTATAATTTATATATATGTGCATATTTATATATTTTTTAAAAAGTCTTCCAGAGAGAGCAACCAAAACTATTACAAGAAAGAAAACAAAAAGACGGTGTAAAATTCTCCCAGCTATCACTCAACTAGGAGTCTCTGATCCTGGGGTCTAAAATTCTGAGTTAAAAGCGCCAATCCAAACCCTTCAGTCCGCCCGTGTGGAGACGCACACTGACGGTCCGCACACGCCTGTCCAGGGAGCCCTTCCCATGGCGCACATTCCTGAGTTCACAAAGGTGCTGTGGAGAGAAGACAGAGCGGAAGTGCTGGCTATCAGACCCACAACCCAGAAGCCACCAAAGGCCTGGGCTGGTGCCGTCAGAAATTCTGTTGCCTCCTCTTCTTGGCTTCAATGGCATCCAGGATGGGCTGCCGCTTGGACCGGTACTTCTGCCGGATCTCTTCCATCTCCTGTTCCATCATGGGGTCAAGGGCCAAAAGCCTCTTCTGAAGGTCCTCCACAGTCCAACTCTTAAGCTAGAAGAGAAGTGAGGAGTACTGTCACCACAATGTCTAAGCTGAGAAGCCCAGCCTCCTCCAGCATCCAGAAGGAAGGCATCAGGAGGAGGATACTGTGGACAGAGTCAAGCGGTAGGGACAGCTAGAGAGTGACAACTAATTCCAATGCTCATAGGCCAGAGCTGTTGCGACCATGCATCCCTGAGAAACTCTGAAAACTAACTGTTTTGATTTAATGTGCCCTGAACAAGAAGGTACATATTCATTATATATAGTAACTTACTGTATGAAAACTAATGCTGCTTCCTGCCTGATCCATGAGAGGAGCAGGGGCAGAACCCATGGCTCTCTCTGAAACTTACCCTGGAGGCCTGTTCAGTACAGGTGAGTCACCTCCCCCCCCCTGCCCCCGCCCCTCAGTGCCATGCACAGCCATAGTAATTCCCACTAACCAGAGTCAAAACAAAGTAAAGCCAAGCATTCTGTGTGGTTCTCTATATGTGGCTTCTGAACATATGGATACAACCTTTGGCTGGAGAAACCCTGAAAATTCCAAGATTAATTTTAAATACAGAGAGAAAAGAACCTGATGTATAAATTAATGATGATGGCTAGTACTTACATGGCGAGCACCTGAACCAGACAGACTGACTTCCTAAGAAAGGATAGGAATGTTTTGTTATCCCCACGCTACAGGATGGACAAGCCAAGGATGAGTGACTAAGGAACCTGCCCAACATCTCCCAGCTAGTAAGTGACAGGGTCAGAGCATGCACCCAAGCAGGATAGCTCCACAGGTCGTGCTGAGCCAGCTTTGCAAAAAGGCACAGCCCTTTGCAACAATTCATGTTTCAAACAGGGGTCTTGCAAATGCCAGGAGACTGGCAAATTATGGTCTTAGATTGGTACAAAGCACACAGCTGTAAGCCCAGCACTTGGCAGGGGTGGGGGTGGGGACGACGGGACGACCACACAGCAGTAAGGCCAGCACCTGGGGGGGCACAGCAGTAAGTCTAGCACCTAGGGAACACACAGCAGTAAGGCCAGCACTGGGGGGCACAGGCAGAAAATTACTGAGAGCTGGAGACCAGGCTGGTTCACACCGCCAGTTCCAGGCCAGCCAAGACTACATAACATTACCTATCTAATCTCCAAAGAAAGATGGAAAAGGAAAGCAATTTATCAGTCTTCCTAAGCTGCTGGTATCTACAGGAGGTGATGTTTCATCAGGAATACTGTAAGAATTCAATGCAGTCTGCTGCCCTAAGTGTGAAGTGTGGTTGATTTTTACACAAGGGCAGTCCCGGCTGGCAGAGGTGTGAGTGAATGCCAGTATTATCCACACTGGGTGGTGAGATTCACTCTGCTGCTCCCGAGAAGTACAGGGTTCCTAGAACTCACAAGGGCTCTGTTGTGCCCACATTTATAACCCTATCATATCCCCCAGTCGGCCCCGCCTGAGGCCACCACAGGAACACATTATAGAAGGGGGTGAAGGAGGCCCTTTCTGTCCACCTTCCTCAGGAGGTAGGGCGTGAACGAGTGTTACAGAGGCCTCCTTAGAAATGGTTTGGTGTGACCTGTCACCACAGGACTTTCTCTGGCTGGTTTCAGGGAAGTTTCCGAGAAGGGAGAAAAGCCCACCAGTGTAAGACGAAAGGCTCTTTGTAACAGCAGGATGGAAAGACTTTAAAGTATGGGGAATGCTGGAAAGTTGAGCTGAAAAACTGTGTCTTTTTTCCAGGTTGTGGTTTTATACCACCTTGGAGGCTTATTTTTTTTGGCCCAGCAACACCCCAAAGACTGATGCTTGCCCAGTCTTTTCAATTCCTCCAAAAGAAAACACCCCAAGCCCAATACCGAACATTACTGGTAGCTAAGAACTTAATTCTTAGACCACTGTCTGTGTAACCCTGAAGAAGCAACTTCCGGCTTGAGCCTCAGTCCCCTCTGAAAATACAGAGAGCTCTAGTTCCTCCCCAATGGGCTTTAAGGAGACTCTGGAGATCATGGGTGCCATGAATGTGGTACTCTTGGCTCAGAACTTCTACAGTGCATGTCTGACAAACAGTGAGCCCTGATTCAAGAAATGCTGGTGACCACAGCTGTTATTACTGACATCCCAGGCATCTAATCATCTTCCATAAACAAGCTGTGTGTGAAACTGATTCAAGTAGAACCATACAAGTGAAGGGGAAACACTATCTTACTCACTTGTTTTAACAATACCTAAAGGCTGGTACTTTCCACAAGGTCCACTAACTCAGTTTAACAAAATGTTTCATCCATCCATTTCTGAAATGCTCACTACTGAGGATACACAAGACACTTAGATGAAACAAAGAAAACAGACGCCACCACCCCAGTAACACAGTATGTCAGTAAATACCCTCATGTCAGAGGGGCTGCCCACTCTGACAAAGACAGAGAAAACAAAGGAAGGGAGCTGGCCTGGAAGGCAGACTTGCTTCTCACCCGTGCATCAGGACAGAATGCAAAGGAAACTAAGGCACTGCACAGATGTCCTGACGTGCTCAGTGCCTGCAGGTTAGCCCCTCCTCCCCTGCAGGTTAGCCCCTCCTCCCCTGCAGGTTAGCCCCTCCTCCCCTGCAGGTTAGC